GACGGACACGTGGCCTTAGGCAAACGAGTCAGGGTTTCCTAAATTTCCCCAAAATAAAATATTTAGGTGGCGACTCTGTATCTGGCAAAGCAGTCCATGTTTGGCACTTCTTTCAAAATCTGTTTTCTCAAAACGATTTGTCGGATTTGGACTCTTTGGTTCAAATTAAGAACCGTGACGATTTGAGAGTTCGAGCTGTAGTGACCCCAAATGAACGGAACGGGACTCACCCTCCCAGGGCGTTCGGGGACGTCTACAAAATCAGTTGCACAACATATATGTATTTCGGTATACAGGTGTCAAGGTGCGCCAAAAATATTAGCGATTGAAAGCTGATTACCAGACATTTAAGCAACTGCAGGCACAGACTGGTCTGGGATGGGATCCTATTATAGGCACTGTTGTTGCACCCGATGAATTTTGGGATAAGGTTTTCCATTAATCTATACTATTTTCTAATTTTATTTTAAACATTTCATGATATATACAGTGCTTAATTCTTGTTTTGTAATTGTTGTAGGCTAGCAGAAATGTGAAGAAGTTTAGGACAAAAGGGTTTGAATATTTTCAAGAAATGACAGAAATTGTTCAAAATTGTTGTGCCACAAGGGCCCTGTCTCGTGCATCCACACAAGGACCCCTTGACTCAGAAGAAGAAGATGACATGTTAAATAAATTTTAGAACGCTGATGCTGGTGGGAGTAATGCTGCTGAGGCCATTCCTGTTGACTTATTCGGGGATGAGTATATGGATCCAGTAAAGGGAAAAAGTCACAAGAAGGGCCCTGCAACCAGCCAGACTGACAGTGGTCATTCCAAAAAGTCACGGTCAAGTGGGTTTGATGATGTGTGCGCAGCTTTCACATCCTATGTACAAGCCAAAACAGGACATTCACGTGCACGGGAAAATGAGACTGAGGCTGTAAGTGCAGGTGGTAATGATTATTCCCTTGATGCATGTCAAGATGCATTGCTTGAGCTTGGGGACATACCACCGTTGCAGTACGTTAGGGCACTGACACTGTTCAAGGATAAGGAATGGCGAAGGTTTTTTATGCGCACTCCTACCCATTTGCACCTAGCCATGATCCTCGCTTTGCAGTGAACTGAGAAGTTCAGTTTTGCTTGTGTTAGCAAATCTTCTTGGCTGAACTGTTTGATGATTTCATTATTCCTGATTTGGTTTTTCTTTTTCTTTTTTTTCATTCCATCATATCCTCTTTTCTTTTCTATGTTCGTATGTTTTTTTTTTTTTTAACTTTTAAGTGTTTTCTGTTATATTAAAACTATGTTCTGTTATTATAATATGACCATGTGTTAAATAAATTTTGTTCTCCTCTGAATTTTACTGTTTCACCAATAACGCTAACTGTTACAGCATGAATAACATATTTTATAATTATGCTTTTACTGTGATGTAGACAAAGGCATATGTCATCCGACAGAGAAAACAATACGATGGAGCTCTCATCAAAGGAGGATGAGGTTGTTGATGATTTTATGGATTTTTTGATGATTGCTTTAATGCATAACCATACCAACGCGTCAAGTAGTCGCCGACCGCAGCGAACGTGTCCATTCAAAGGTGATGATTACATCTTCGGCCTATTAAATGGCCATCCATAAACAATGATGAACGTTATGCGAATGGATGCACAAACATTCATTTTATTGAAAGACACTTTACTCCGTAATGGCTTTATCGATACGGAACATATGCATATCAGTGTGGAGGAATCGCTTGGAATTTTTTTATTCACTTTTGCATAAAATGATCGCCATCGAATAATGGCAGATAGATTTCAACACTCCACGGAAACAATTTGTCGGCACATAAAAATTGTTATGCGGGCATTGTGCAAGCTTTCATCATCGGTTATCAAACCACGTAACCTAGAGGACATACTGGGACAAATTTTAAATGACAGGAGGTTTTTTCCCTGGTTCAAGGTACGAACAGTATGACTGTCCTGTAAGTTTGTTCATATCAATAAGTGTTAATAAATATTATTTTTTTTTAATTATAAAAGTAATATCGAAGTTTGTTTCACTTTTAATATCAAACAAATATCTGTCAATTAGGATTGTGTCGGTGCTATCGATGGCACATTGGTGGATGCATGGGTCTCTGCTTCAAGACAAAATACATTCCGTGGTCGGAAAGCAACGGTATTGCAAAATGTACTCGCAGCTTGCGACTTCGATATGTTGTTCACATTTATTAATTCTGGATGGAAAGGTAGCGCTCACGACAACGCTATTCTAGTTGACTCTATTACACGAGCTGATCTACAGTTCCCACACCCACCCAATGGTGACTGTCCCTGAATAACACGGTACACTTTTTTCCTTGTCTGTTTTTGTACATATCAATTGACAAAACTGTGTATTCATTATTTATATGTAGGCAAATACTATTTAGTTGATGCTGGTTTCACGAACATGCCTGGATTTCTTGCCCCATTTCGGTCTCAACGGTATCACTTGCAAGAGTTTCGTGGTCATCGTTATGCAGGACCTAAGGAATTGTTTAACCATCGGCATTCGTCATTACGCAGTGTCATAGAAAGAACATTTGGTGTTTTAAAGAAGCGCTTTCCAATATTGCGGTCCATGCCAAATTACAAGTCTACACGACAAGGGCCTCTCGTGATTGCATGTTGTGTAGTGCACAATTGGATCCGTTTGCATGCAGCTATGGATCCATTTTTTATGGAAGCTGATAATGAAATGGCCGCAGAAGCAGAAGCAGACGGGCTTGTTGGAGACCAAGCTGACTACGTTGACATGTCACAACATGGGTTAACGTCCCAATCGAACGTTGGGGATGCAATTGCTATTGCTATGTGGCAAAATCATGTTCACCATGCATAGAAAATGGATGTGAACAAGGCAAGTGAATATCGTACTGACTACTGGTTGTAAATGCGTAATTATTTTACTATTTTCAGTCATTATGACACCGTTACTACATAACTTCGCCCAACCATCATTTTTGTGATTTACTGACTTCTTTTATCTTCTTGTACGATAACTAATACTAAGGACAACGATTGGGCTAAATGGCAATAAAACGAAATAAAACACAAACATCATCGCATGGGCAATAAAGATAATGGTTTTCTTAGTACATGTGTACTTAAATATGTTGTTCATGCAATGTGTAATATGCAATTTTATGTATAGTCTAGCAAAGACAATTAAATATGTTGTTATTAATATGCCATGTGTTTCTTAGTAACTTTCAGAAGTAAATATGCTGTCATTAAATTAAATGTGGTGGTGGCAGATGGGTGGTGGGTGGATTCTCAAATGTTCTACGATAAAATCAAATGGTCCAAATATGAAAAAATACTAAGCCTCTGTAGTGGGTTGGCTTTTTAATTTTTTAGTTTTTTTTGACTATATGAGCCTGAGCCCAAAAGCTTTTGATTTTTTTGTGAGAGAAGAGTGCAATTTTCCACTTTAGCCCTTTAAATTTGATTTTTTTTCACTTTGGCCCTTCATATTTGTAATTCTTCCCACTTTGGCCATTCATGTTTGCAATCCAAAAAAAAAATAATAATAATAATAATAATAATAATAATAATAATAATAATAAATAAAATAAAATAAAAAAGTAAATTATATTTTATTGTTTTATATCACCCGATTTTATAGCAAAATATTATTTTATATGAAGAATGTGTAAAAATTTGCTGGGTACATCTTCAAGTAAGGGTGTATAATTTGTGTAAACGCTGGGGTATTCTTTTTAATTTTCTGTACAGAAGTTTATATTAACTTTATTTTTTTCCTTTTCGTTAAAAAAAAGAATGTTTATTATTAAATATTATTAAATTGTAACTTGTTTTATTTAATTTCATAACAGTAATTTAATTTTATAAATTAATTGATGCAGACAAATTATTTAATAATTGTGTAATTTTTATTCATTTTATTCAAATGAAGGATTTCATAGACATTTATGAAGTACTATTTATTAATTTTTGTACAAATAATTTTTTCAATGCATAATCTTTTTGCACAGATTGCTATAACATTATAACTATGTAATTAAATGATTCCAAAAAAAACCCCAAGTTGTTATTCATTACGTGAATAGAAAAGTTTATAACAAAATAACAAAAGTAAAACAATCACAACAAAACTCACCAAATAAATAACCAAAACAAAAAAAGGGAAAAAAATATAGCCACCATATCTATAAACCATTTTACTTGATTTTTAGACAAGTTAAGCATCCTTGTCAGGTGGTGTTGGAGGTGGAGGGAAATGCTGATGGTACAGCTGAGTGACTCAATGGTCAATCAGATCAATGCGGTTCCTTGTCAGTTCAGCACGTCTCTCTAAGTCTACACGAAACTCACCAAATTGATGAATTAGTGAGTTCTGAGCGGTGGCAATTTCATCGAACCGAGTACCAAATTCATCGAACCGAGTACCCAATGTATTGAGCTAATTAGCCATTTGTTGTTCCCATTGTAGGCGCTGATTGTACCGTTCTTGTTCCAAGGCTAAATAATCAGTCTAGTAATGGGTTGTTCATTTGGTGGCATGGCATTGTCATTGGGTTCTTCCTCATCAGGTATTGGTTCATTTTCAAGATTAATAGAGCCCATCAAGGTGTCAGCACCACCAGCTCGGGTCAGTGTATACTCAGAAATTGGTGAAGTGATTCTGATCCATCCTTCACCTTCAAGGTTCACATCATGGGCTTTGAAAATTATGGTTAACAAAGTTCCAAAAAGTAGTGACCGGCCACTCAAAGTATCCAATTTTGCAAGCATCATTTCTTTTAGTAATATAAAGCATAAATCTAATTTTTGTCCAATTTCAAAACAATATAACAAGTAAACTTGAAAACATGAAACATTATTATAATGTCCTTTTTTGGGAGTGATATTTTCAACTATCCATCGATGGAGAATACGAAGGTGAGGTTTTAAATGGCTGACTTGTAAATTAGTGCCGCTAAATCGGTTGTCACAAATTGTGTTATAAATCTGAGTGACATCATCAACAATTTTTTCTAATGCGGCCTCATTTTGAAAATAACATTGTAAATCTCCTGTTTCGGCTCCAATAATTTGTGCAAAACGACGGAGAGAGAGTGTGATTCTTCTCCCCTTAACATAAGAGGTAAGACTGAACGGTTCATTTTGTTGGTCACCCGGTGTCAAGTGAACATAAAATAATCGTAGAAGACGGGGATATATCTTATTTGGTAAATTACTTAATGGTAACCATCCCATTGTATCTAATTTGCCAAGTAAGAGTGAATCATATTGAGAATGTAGTTTTACGTTTCTCCCCGTAACAATTGGTCGAGTAATGAAATGTTCATAGGCTTGTTCATGATGATATGTTGCAAAATCATTAGTTGGATAGCCATCATGTTGTTGCTGTGGTGGTGGTACAGGGTTTGAGGATTCACCAAGTTCGGGCCTGGTTCGTTTTGTTCTTGGCATGATTATTCTTGGCATGATGACTGCAAAAGTGAAAGAAAATTGTATATTAAAACATATGAGAGGTAAGAAAAATGTATGAAAAATATATCAACCATTTGTACATTTTTGTGTATACAAACTTATTTTTATGTAAAAAATAAATATAAAAAAATTTGGTGACAAAATTTAATTAAACAGATGTCATAGAAACATATTTTTATACAAAAAAAAAAAAAATCATAGGGAATGATATTTCTCATTTATATTGGGTTTGTTTCATACAGTTTATTATAACTTAGAAACTGATAATCAGAAAAATAAATGATAGTGTGACAAAATTAGAACAGAAATCAGAAAATATAACAAATGAAAATGGAACAGATATGAAACAAAGCCAACAGATACGGAGGTGGAATGGTGACTGGGCTGGGATGACCGGCCGGATGTCCCGTGGGATGACTGGCCGGTAGACCGATGGGATGACCGCCCGATTGTCCTCCTCTTCCCCTCCCTCTGAAGCTAATGTCTGAAGCTAATATGAAGATGAACTGGTATCAAAACTAACCTGTAAATTATGGAAGTGGAGAAGGAGGACCTAATGAGATGGTGGATATGCTCTATTTCTCTAATTTTTGTTTTCTGATGTAACCGGAGAAGGTGTTTCTGAGATGGTGAAGTTAGTGTAGTAAACGAAATGAGATTCAGATTTAATAGAAAGGGTGAGGTTCAAAAGGTTCATGTTGTATTTTTTTTTTATTTACTTTTTATTTGTTAAATATTATTTGTTTTTAATATTATTACTTTTTTAATGATATCACATCCGTGTACTGAGTACACAGCAGCAGCCTCTCATTTTTCTTTACCTCAGTGTTGAACACACAGCTATGAAACAATAGGGGGTAGGTAGTAAGTAAGTGAAATTACTATCTTACCCTTTATATTTTGTTCTATGTAACCACTTTCCATTTAAGTCAAGAGGGGCATAATAGTCATTTCGTATGTCAATCCCCACAATTATATGAGCTCAACGGGTACAATAATGCATTGCATTTCTGTTACCACATCTGGACGAAATCCATAACATGTAATAAATGGAAAAAAAATTGATAATGTTTTGTAAGATTTACGTTATGATTTGTATTTTAAAATATTAAATTTAGTGTATTTATTCCTTCTTTATTAATATGTATTTTCAAAAGTTGTTGACTTTAACAAAATGTTAGAAAAAAATTAAAAACGTATTTTACAAATGAATTGATAGAAAAATTAATTGGCAGAAAATAATTGACATAGGTTTATTTTAAAATGAAAAAATTATTTCGAAAAAACAATTATTCAAAAAAATTTCAAAAAAAAAAATAATTGACAAAAAAAATCAATTTTTAATTTCAGTATTTTAAAAATAGTTTGGTTATTATTGTTGATAAAAAATATGGATATCGATATATGAGTTGTGTGTTTGATGATTTTTTATTGGTTGAATTAAGTTTTGAAAACTATTTTCAAAACACACCACCAAACAAATTTTCACCTTTCACATGTCAAATCAAACTTTCAAAACTTAATTCAAAATACATCTTCAAAACATAATTCAACACTCTATTTAAAAACCATAACCAAACAAATTTTCTACACTCAAATCATAATTCTACAACCCACAAACTCAAAATACAACTCATACTCTCAAATCACATTTACAAAACACAATCAAACGCAGGCTTAGATTTTTTATGATTTTCTCTTCTTTGAAAATCCCTGTTGTTGAAGTCTTTTCGGAAAATTTCACACATCTTGTTTCTTTTTCACAAATCTCTTGAAATTCCTAGTGATGAATGTCATTTCCTCATCATCATCCGAATCATCTTCCTCATCCTCTTGATGTTTCGAGGTGGATTTGCAGGCTATTCCTTTTTTATTGTTGTTGTCCTCCTTTTCTTTTCTTTCTTGCATTATAAGCTCATGAGTTAAGAGAGATCACATTAACTCATCTAAACTTAGCTTTGATAAATCTTTGGCTTCGGTAATGGCAATGACTTTTGTCTCCCAACTTTTTGGCAAGGACCTAAGCACTTTTCTTAAAATTTCAGTATTAATATATATTTTGTCAAGGGAAGTTAAACCATTAATAATATCAGTAAAGCGAGTAAACATTTCATGAATAGTTTCATCAGGCTTCATTTTAAAAAGTTCATAATTATGGACTAGCAAACTGACTTTAGATTCTTTAACTTGTTCGGTTCCCTCATGAGTCACTATAAGCGTATCCCAAATTTCTTTTGCAGCTTTACATGTGGAGATTCTGTTGAACTCGTTGGCATCTAAGGCGCGGTACAACATGTTTGTGGTTTTAACATTAATTTGGGTCATTCTAGTATCTGATTCAATCTACTCATCTTCAGATTTTGGTACCTCAAGGCCATCTAC